TATATATATATATATATATATATATATATATTCCATCATTACTCTAAAAGATATCGATTCTAATCATTATGTCCTTTTGAATCTTAAAAATCAGTCTTAAAAAAAGATATTTCTATGATTTCTGGACCCACAACAAATTCTTATCTAGGTCTGCTATCCTTAGCTCTTTTTTTTAGCTTAGATAGTCTGCTATCCTAGTACCACTTTATTTGATAAAACTTAAATAGAACATTCTTCTAATTTACCAAAAAAACCCACTACCTGATACATTTACCATAAAACTGAAATAAAATGTCCGAATTTCTTATTCTTTTTATCCGATTGATTATTATAAAATGTTTCCCTGCAGCAATAAAAAAATTTCAACATTTACAGCACCCATCTCTATCTTAAAAATTTAGAATTATTCGCTTCCTTACTTTACAGAAGATGACTTTTGGATAACTTTTTAGCATAAAGATTGGATTCTGCCAACCTAGTCTTTATATATTACCTGCACTTACGAAAGCACAAGTAAACCTAACTTCCTTAGCATAACGAAAACTGGTTTAATAAAGATGGAAAGCATAATCTGGAATACATTGGAAATATACTTACATCATCACGACTATTGACCACCACTGAACATGTGAGTTAAGCAATGAAAAGACTTGGGGTATCTCAGGTTTAGGTATCTTGTCAACAAGGTCTTCCTAAAAAATAAAACAAAATCTCCAATGTCTTTAAACAAAATCTTCTATTTAAATTTAAAGGGCTCAGTGAATCAATTTTCATGATTTCGGCATTTTCATGATTTCAGCTTCTCTAAAATATTGTTGATGTTTCTTTCCTTCCTGCCTTTTTTTCAGAAATCCACTTCAAAAAACAAAACATTAAAAAAATCTAAATTGAAACTTTAAAAGCTTTAATGACGAGAATAATTTCACTTGTACATGCTTGAAATGGGAAGAAGAATGAAACAACTCCCCGCTGTTAGATGTTTTAATAATCACTATGAAATGCCAGCTTTTTGGAGACGGTGCTGGATAGTACCCACTCACAACTATTTGGCACAATTGATTTGCATACTACCATCGATAATTGACTGTTTTTCTAACACTAACATTATAAGTCTAGGTTAGCAGTGCAAAATAAGCCCTCAAATGTAATTATTGATTTAAATAACTCAATATAACCATTCACGGACTACATGAAATTTTGCAATTGTTTGCAAAACTTCGTCTACCAACAATGAAAACGTATTCCTAGTTCCTGTAATAGTCTGGCGAAAGGTGAAAAGGAAACTCTATATACTGTGTTCTTAGATAGATTTAAAGAAAAAAAAACTTTATCAAATTATCCAATAAGTGAAAACACTGATTATCTTTTCATACGTAAAAATTCGTGGGATAAATCTTCTAAACTTACCCTGAGATACCGAGATTTAAAATTAATCTGGACACCAAAAAGATAGTCTCATCCATTTAAAACAATTATTGCTATTTCGGTGAATTCAACAACAAAGTAAGGGAGAGAAGGAAAAAAGTAGTTGTTTTACATGAAATTCTTATTCATTTGAAAAACTTTCATTTCTAATCAGATCACATAAATCAGACACGAAACTGAGAAAAACTTTTATGTGCAACAGAAGGCAATACATAAATTTCATGTTAGCTTTGCTTTTTCTTCAATGGACGGTATTCGGCAACTACGACTGCATGATCTCTTTCATATGGTTCTAGCGTTACTTGCTCACGTGGCTTAAACTTCTCTTCTTTTAGTTTATTTACTTCACCAGCAAACACTGCTTCTGGTGCTGCTGTCGAGTCAATGCAATTCGCCTGAAAAATTATTAGACATCTATTTCTAGCTGATAAGAGCTGAAAGCACATGTAATGCACATAAAATTGATACGGAATGACCAACTCACCTTCTCAATAAAAGAATTCAGATTTATTAAAAATAATGAAAAGTTACAGAAAATAATGGTTTCTCGAATGTTTGTTTAATTATTCTTTCAGCTCTACCATTCTACATTTTACTAAGCCATTCTTTTTAAGAAACAAAAGTAGTTAGTTTTTCCTGAGTGGTGGTTTTCCGGAAGTGGTGAGTGGTGGTTTTCCGGAAGAACTGCATGTTTTTGGCTTTTTTCATAGTTATGAATAAAGCTAATTTTCATTTCCCAAACCATTCAACATCCAGCGATTCTAGTACCATGGAAAGTCAGTTCAGTTGTATGAAACTTTGAACTGAATTATTATAGACACAGCAAGGATCACAACCTTGACAAAGTGAGTTGGTGACTTTAGATTCCGTTCAGACTTCCATAATTTTTCAATATTTATAAGTGATCGAAAGAGTTAAGGACGAGAAATAAATGCAAGGTAGATGCAAATATTGTGTGTGTTCTAATTGCTTCAGAAAACAATTGCTCTTTGAGGCATATGCAGGTTTTCTGGCGTTTTGCATGATTAATTATGCCATCGAATCTTAAAATGGAAAAAAAAAATTGCGGTCTTGCGCAAGGGAAAATTTATACAAGTAGATCACAAAGAACGAATGAATAAATGCAAAAAAAAGCGACGGGAAAAACAAACCTTAATCGAGATTACAGCATGACCACCATTTTTCAAGAAATGATGAGCATTTATAGCAACAATTCTAGCCTGATCTGGCTGCGCTACATCGGAAAATATTGTATCCACCACTCCTATAATTAAAATCATTAAAATTAAAACCATTAAAATCACCAAAACCAACATCCCAACAAAATTAAAGAAAATAAAACGCACAAAAATTAATAAAAGTCAAATAAATATAACTACATACCAACAAGCATCCTGTATTTTTGAGGATGACGAGCATCGTCTACAATGGGAATGATATTTGGCCTCTTTTTTGCTATATTCAGCAGATCCCGACCAGATCTATGAGAAAATTCCACTGCGTAAACCAAACCATCCTCAAATAGTATTTTGATGAATCTTGAAGTTGAGTTCTTTTAATAACAGTAATTCAAACCAAAAAAAGCATTGTACTCAGTAACTTACCGGACCAACGATATCAGAGCAGTGGGATACAGTGGTGCCAGATGCAGCACCCAAATACAGAAGTTTCGATCCCGGTTTGATATGTATATCATCTAAACCACCAAGTATTGAAGCTGCCAGTTTTGACCGGAAAGGGTTCCAAATTCGATATTCAACCTTCTCCTTATCGTCGTTTTCAACAGATACTCTTTTTTCACCATACACTGATTCGCCAATAACTAGATTCCGAGTACCCAATGCATCCTCTTTGCCTTTCACGATAAAAACACCTGCGTTTAAAAAAGGTATGGAAACTGAATGGAACGAATTCAAAAATACTTTCAAATAATCCAGTTTACATCTCTAACCCAGTTCACATCTCTGTAACGGAAGCAGTAGCTTTGCAGATGAGGGTAAAACAAAGAATTGAGAAAAAAACACTAAAGGGCATTGTAAGTCAGTAATACATATGCAACATACGATTTTCGAGAAATAAGAATACTTCAGCTAATAAAGTATTAGCCATAAAGTATTGGTATTTGTGTTGCATTCTAGAGACTGAAAAAGCAAAATTAAGTGCAGATGATACTAACCTTCATGTCGGTGTGGCTCGATGATGACCTTTCTACCACCTCGCATTCCTCCACCTCGTCCTCCTCCTCCTCGAGGGCTTCCACGACCACGCGGTGATCGTCCTCTACCACTGCAAACAAAGGAATGATAAAGCATGGCATCTATTACATTTAAAGTAAGTTTTCATGCTGCTATTAACATGATCAGAGCTTAAAAACTGATCAGAAAGAAAGCAAAAAAATTACATCTAACTCCTTACAGATAGCTTATGATCGGCCATCATGACCACAGCCAGCGAAAAACTGTAAAGAAAGCAAACAAACCCTCCGCGGCCGTCACTTCCACTCCCACCACGGAATCCTCTTCCACCACCGCCACCACTTCTCCTGTCACCAAAACTTCCCATCCCAACGCCGTTTTTATCACCGAAACCACCTCGACCTGGAATTTTAAAATTTCACCACACATCACACCACTGTAATTACCTTTATGTTCTAATGTATGTCCAAACAATAAGTATTTTAGTTGCAAAAAAAAAGAGGAAATTTAACCTCCTCCTCGGGGTGACCCACGAAATCCACCACCTCTTGATGACCCTCTAAAGCCGCCACCACCGCCTCTCGGCGAACCTCGAAAACCAACTCCATCTGAAAAATACTGAGATGATGATCAATACAAAATATGCAGTAACTTAAAAATAGAGAGATCAAATTACAGGTCCACCACTGCTCGAGTGAGTGGCTCATTAAATGCGCAAAAACTTACTGGTACTAGCGCCCCCTCTTGGCACATAAGCTGGATATCCCATTTTATAGTCTGACTGAAATCAAACTAGTTTTAAAAGTATTTTCGACTCAAAAATGGAATGAACAATGAAAGCAAAAGGAATATCGCACGAATAAAAGGAGAAAAGAGGTTCTATGGTATAGCAAGATCTCGTATGAGTACTCACCAAAAACAATAACTGGGAGATAAAAGGCTACTGAAAGAAGAACGAGCACTGCTGTCGGGTGGCACACAATCATAGGGATGTAGTTTAAAATCACGTTAAAATGGAAACAGTAGCTAATCCTGTGCAATTATCTTCCCCGGCACCCGGGATACCGATACAGCATAAACAATCTCTTCCAACATGAAATGGCATTTCCAAAAGTGGGGCCGTTAGAAAAACCCCGACGAATATGGAGAGAAAGCATAAAATAGGAAAATGACTAAAAACTCAAAAAGTCCTCACGCTGTTCATCCCTTCGCCAGCCTAAACCCCGCGTACAACGTCGCATTTCATAATGTGTCCGTTGCATTACGTAGATTTAATTTATGTAACGATGATGGGACGGTTCGCTACTGAATGGGAGAGAAGTCAGGGACTCCTTCTAATTTCGCTTTTTCTCAAATATCTGCTAGATTACTCTTGTTCTTCGCCGTTCCCTCTTGAGACAAACACTAAGATAAGTAGTATGTCGCAAGTGGTACGAAAGCAAGAGAATCTACATACTGAAGATTTCAAGGGGCGTCTGGGAGATGCAAGGATGGGTTCCGATGACGAGTATCATTCCCGCCGAGCAAAAGTATTGTTACCAGCGACAGGTGTACTGACCAAAGATGGCATTCCTTTCTACCATTTGAGACGGTATGCACTGAAACCGATTCATCTACAACGGATCAGGCAATGTGGTTCGTTTTCATTCCCTCCCTTCTTTCATTTTTGTTTTATGGCATAAAGAACAGGAAATGTTTGAGTAAAAAATTGACCAAATCATTGATTTTTATGTCAACATTGGCTTGCTTGCAAACTGAGAAATGGCGATGTTGATATCGTATAGCACACAATTCACATCCCGAATACATGTTTCACAACATCTCTTCCACCCGGTGATCTTGAGCATTCTTTTAAGGAGTCGAATTGAAAACTGGGCAGTTCTCAAGTGACGAAAACAAGCGACTTAAAAGGGTTTGACCTGTTATTTCTCTGATACTTTATCACATTTCCTGAAGAACCAAGTTTGGAATGATATGTTTTCTGTTCATGTCTGCTTATAATTGCCGCTCTGGTATATTAGCGATCTTGTATCTGTGTTTGAGAAACTTTGTTTGGAAAAGTGGATTTGGGGTATTTTCGAGAATTTTCGAGAAATGATTAAATTGTTTCTAGAATTGGGAGAAATATGCAACAACAAATGACGTCGATTGCAATCGAGCTTATGAGTTTGCAGGTGGATGTAGTAGAGAGATGAGTGGAGATGAACGGATCAATTTGCTAGTGTTTCAGAATAAAACAAATTTTGTACCAGCAATGTGTAAGTGATTTTTCACACAGTGATAAAAGTCCTTTATATTATCATTTTATTTCTGTTTCAGTCACAATATTTTATGAACTCGATACTCATTTGATATTGTGCTCATTGTTTAGATTTAATAAATATCATTTTTAATCGCTATTGCTTTCTCAGGTGAAGGATTCAATGATCGAACAGGGCGGCAGGTCATCAGCAGAATGTTAATTATGTACCATCCAGGTGAAAGAAGCAGGTACTCATTGTATTTTTGTTTACTGAGCTTCTTTAGCTCTTGTTGGGACATATGTTAGTGTTTTTCAAGATAAGCATCAACACAAAGGGTAGAGAAAAAGGTTTTTATGACGAAAAGTTAAAGCGGCGGTGTGATTTTGGATCAAATTACCAAAAATTTCTTTCAATTAGAATACGTTCCATAGAAATAAAAATCCTATCAGGTGATTGTTATTTTTGTAAATATCGCTTTTTTCAAAGTAACATTTGTTTTCTTTTATGTAAAGGCCGGAATGGAACGATGAACTAGAGAAACAGTTTGAGAAATTGTATGCTGAAGGTTACTCATCTCGGGCTATAAGTATTCGCTTACAACGATCCAAGGCCGAAGTAGATTATCGAATTAATTTGTTGAGAAGGAGAACAGAAAAATCGTGTGATTTTGATGACTGTGACATTGAATTGCCTGATAGCACGCGACAAGTTCTTTATGGTATTAGGTTTCGATATTTTTGCATAAGTTTTACAATAAGAGAAATGTTGTGATTGTTTGTATTTCTTGACTATTAAGACTTACTTATCAGAGCTGTGCTTAAATAGCGTCTGCACCGTAATTCCTTTTTCTTAGATTGGTTATTAGGAAATGCTTATATTTATGAATTTCGAATCCGACTGTTTCTCATCCAAGTTTCCAATCAAATATTGAATTGGCTGGTAGTATATGTAGTCATATATTATTTTTTTCCTTTAATTATTATCACTTTCGCCACATTATTTAATTTTTTGAAGGTTTTGTGAGCAAATGGTTGCTTCCTAAAAATTGTCCTTACGAATTAGAAGAAATGTTGCCAGAAAAAGAAACATGGAATGTGGCTGATTTTGCATTGCTGCAGGATCAGGAAAAGGCTATGTCGTATTTGCCCTGGCTCTCACTCACTTGGAAGATGTTACGTCCTGTTCCTATAATCAAGAAATTTTGGTACTAGTTTTTTTTTGAATAAGCATTTATAATACTACTTTTCCTGAAGAAATTTTCTTATTTAAAGTGAATTTGTCATTTTTTTTTTTTGAATTGTCCTTTTTGCAAATATTTGTTGCCTGAGTGCTTAATTTCAACTTTAACTTTCACTTTTGCTGGGCGCATGATTTTAGTAGTCGTCATTTGCATCAATATGAACACGATCGAAGAGATGCCTAAATTATGACGGCGCGACTGCGCTCCAAGCATTTCATTAAGCTTTGATGTATCCTGTTCTTTTGTTTGTTACTACGAAATGGTATAGGTTGTTATTCGGAATTCTAAGTTTTCAAAGAATGAATTTCATTCTTATTAAAGGTTGAAAGAGGTCGAAAGATTACGTGCAGCGTGCGAAAGATTTGGCGGAAATACAGAAAAGGCTACGGATGTTTGTATGCCAAAACTTCCTCTAATAAGCGTTGGCGAATATAGGCGTGCTCTAAAATTGTTTTTGGAACAAAAACCAATGTTCCCTAGTCATCTTAATATTGAACAGTTACAGAAGAGGTACGGGTCTCAGTTATTCTTAGTACTCTAATGTTGTGTCAGTAGCAGTCATTGGTTGTGAACACTGACTGTAATGCTCTCTGTGATTTTTACTTGATGTGTACATTTTAGGGTTTATGTAAACACTATATGTCATTCTTTATATTATTTTTCTATATTTAGAATGGTTTTAGCCAAGGAATGCTAATAGATATTCGAATTTTATGGTTATACAGAATCTCAGCCTGAGTACTATGTTTGCAAAGATGGAGAGTAAATGGAGGCCTTTGTATGCTATTACTATTATCATATTTATGAACTAAGGAAGTCACATTCCAGAATTGAGGAGGAAAATTTAATCGGCTACTGTACGAATGGTTTGATTGAAGGTGAATTTCTGAAAAGAATGTTCTGCATTCATATTGTCAATTTTAGAAATGCCACAAGGGCAGTGAATCTCGCAAATATCACTTGTGTCGGTAAGCACTTTTAAAGGAAATTATTCTGCGAAAGTTTTTCTACAAAATTTGGAAGAAATTGTTGGGTAGTTACTGGTCTTCCTTTGGAAGCCGATTGCTTGAAGCAAGATTTTCGATAGTAATTCAGAAACTGTATTACGTCGGGGTTAAATGAAGTATAACTTGTTAGTGGTCGTAAAATTGAGCACCTGCTACCACCTAAGCGTTTCAACTGGAGTGAAATTTTCAATGTAATTTTCAGATTGGATTTCCGTTCTCATCGAGTACCTTACACATTTGGATGGAAGCCTACGGAAGTGGCACTACAATATGAAGTATGTAAGAGAACTTGTTTCGCAAACCCTGGAAAAGAAGTGTGCGAATGTTCCGATTAGCAGTAGTGGTACTGCTGTGAACACCGATGACATTAATTCATTGCTTTGTTTAGCAACATCGAACGGGGCTCATAAACATGAACAAAAATACTGCAAACCATATATTAATGGTCTAGAAGTGAGCAATACGAACAGTCAAAAACTTGGAACGAATGAGGAAATAACTTTCTTCGATGTTTATATCGAATACTTCATCGAAAAATTAAAAAATCTTGTCGAATCTCGAATTTTGTTGTTTGATGAGCAGGGGCAACGAAAATTTGCGAAGAAATTAAGGAAAATAATGAAAAAAGATGAGAAATTAGAACCATTGCAAAGGTTGGTTAAGAAAATGATTTTCAGTCTGGAAGATGAGCAAAAAATGAAATTGACCAAGAAGTATCAAAAGATTATGAGAAGATTTCAAAAAATGCAAGAAGCAAAAAATATCAAAAGCGACGTTCACTGTGAACTTAATGAAGCAGAAATATCTCGTGAAGGAGGTGAAACGATAAACTGTACGGATTGTTCTGGAGGAGTTACTGAAATGACCGGAGAAGCAAAGCAGCTAGGTTCTAATAATGATTTTAATATTAATAGCCCACTGGAATTACAGCTGAAAAGGGAAGAAGCATGTAATAATGGTGAATCAAAACGACGGAAAATAGGATGAGAGCTATTTATGGAAGCTCTATTTCATCAGGGCTAAATTAGCTAGTGAAACCACTTCAAGAATTAGAATGTGGTACTGTGGACATCGATCTATTACGGAAAAGAAAGAATAAGGGAATTAAATGTAAAAAGGGAGGAAATTATGATGCCATGACTAGTTTTCCCAGCATTTTGAATGCTTAATAACATAAGATGTTGAAATCCAAACAACCTACTCATTCTTTACCCATTATCTCTGTTTCTGGTAGACAAAATCTGAACTAATATTAATAAACTTTCTTGGCATATGTACATTAGATTGTTTTTTGTTTCGCTTTTTCCGCTTAATGACTACTCTGACTAATCCGTCGTGATTTCATGAGTTTAATTCTTTCGGACCAACAATGCCTCTTTCATATGACTTTGAGTCGTGGGTTCTGTTTCGAGTGATTTCTATCTTTCTTGGACAAAACTGCCAATGAGCCAGTCATTTTACAACCTTAATTATTGAGTATCCAAGACTTTTACTGCAGTCTATTCTAATACCGACTTTCCTGGTGCTGGTTATATTCACCGTTCATAACCCACTTTGTTCGCAAAATGACGGGACGAGTTTGATGTTTAGGACATTTTTTGTTTAACAGGATTCTGTTCGCTAAATGTGACCTTATGCTTGACTTGAATTTGTTGATAACACTAATTTATGAATAAATGCGTCGAAACAATTTGTTCCAACCTGTTATCCTCATTGGGATTTCAAAACTTCAGAGTTATTTCAGACATGTGTTGAGAATGACATGCTTCGTGCTGTTTCTAATTATCCAGGATGATTTTTACGCTAACCGCCATCTTCTGCTCATAGTAGTATCAATAGAAAGCAGAAAATCAGGAGGAACTTATGATAAACTGACAACTTACAAGGAATGAAATATCTAGCAAAATCCACCTCGAATGGCGTAATGAATAAAGTTCATCCCCAAAAATTGATCTCAAGTTCTTCAGCGAGCGCTCTAAAGATATCTTTGTATCTGTCATATGCTTGTACGCCACTTATATGCTGTGTGCTTTTAACGTTTACATTCCACTTAGTGTTGACATATCACTCCCAATTTAGGTGCTAAAGTTAGGAAATGATACAAAAGATTCGGAAAGTTATATTCAGTCAGTTGCAGCTGTAGAACCTCTTAAATTCTTCCGAAACGAGTACTTATGGTTTTAAACTTTTCGAAAACCCGTCAAGATTTCATTGAATTTTCCAAACCCCAATCCCACGAATTAGCAATTGCTTTTGTAGTCCGCCAAAATGATACACTCCTCCAAATCGTCTTAAAAGTAGAGTTTTTTATAACACCCACTTTGAAATATAAAAATGATGATACAGGAATGTTTGTATCTTTTATTTTGAACAGTTTCTGAGACTCGAGCAGTCTTATTGTAAATTAAATTACACTGATAAATCAAAGGTCAAAATCAAATTTTTCCCAGTCAGTAAATTTTGATTAAATTCTGATGCTGTTTTTGTTATCGAACATATATCAAAGACATCTTCACTGCTAAGACATCAGATCGTAGCAGTGCTAAAAAATCCAAGATATTAGCATCGTAGCAATACCAAAAATCCCAAGAAAGTGAATCAATTTCCTTCGAGACCAATTTGGATTACCAAAATCATCAATTGCGTGAAAGTCCCGAATGCAATCTTAAAAGGAGAAAACGAGGACTCTATGCCGAGATTTAATTTACATAAAAGGAAAAGTCCAACAACCGTACACAATGGTTATGAAGTATTAAAAACTAATTATGTTTCCATTTCGGGCTCGTAAACAATGTCCCGTCCCAACTCAGTAGCAAATTCGTAGTAAAGCTGCGATACGTCCAGTGGCGGAAAACGAATTTTCTCAGTCGGCGAAATGTGCACCACTGCAAGAAATAATGATAAACTGTTTCAAAATGACTGAACCAACAGCATAACCAGAAACATACAGTATAGCCCAAATTGGAGTATGAAAACTGATAAGAAAAAAAAGAAAAACTAACTATTGCAAACACCACCAGAACCAGTATCACGATAAGTAGCATGCATTATTCCTCGCCGACCCAGTTTGTATGCTTCGTCATCCGTCATTTTGGGCTGGTAAAAATTATCTAAGATACCATAAGCACTGAAATGAGCGGAATATCCTGCCATAATTATCGTGTATTCCTGCCAATTTTTTAATGAACATCGAAATCAGTTTCCACATTTGTACATGAATTCTTTTGCTCTTCAAATTTAAAAGTTTGGAGGACAAATTTTTCGTCTTTCAGCAATTGATGAGAATAGTTTCAATAATTCGAATATATGGAAAACACACCTCAAAGAACCTGAACCTATGCTACACAGTCTTAATTGGACGCGTTGTCCTTCACTGTCGACTTTGAAAATTGCAGGTCCACGTTTGTCATAGCCGGCAATCATGGATCCCTGTTGAAAATGAACAGAGTTTAAATAAACATTTTTCCTATTGGCGTCATCCTTACCAACAATTTTCTATTTAATAATTAGCAACTCTCAATAAAGAATAACGTGATAAAGATTGCAAAGGAAGGAAGAAAACATCGTAATTCAAAAAAACACATCTGTTCTTTTTCTAACATTACTTTCATACCAAAGCTTTTTAATAAGTTCAACTCGACAGATATCAATTTTGCAGATTCAAGAAAATGATTCGTAAAAACAAAAGGGCTCGTAGAATCCGTAAAAAAAGTAGTTAGTAACAAAACACCACTCACAACCGACAGTCCATGGTTTCGATACGAATACAAAACATTCTGGAAATATTTGCTTGCAGCAGCCACAGTAATTTCTGTCTTTTCCCGAAGCTCATATAGCCTAAAAAGATAAAAACTGTCAAGATAAAAACGTGAAAAAAAAAGACAAAGAAAAACCAGAATGGTGCAGTAAACTAACGTGCAGTATTTAGCAACGATACGTGTCCAAAACTGACAGTCGGCAGCACCACCAGCCATAGTTGCTACCATTCGATCGCCGATATCCAGTATTTTCATAACACTCTTAGATGCTAAAAGGAAATTTGACTTAAATTTCACTAAACCCTTATATGTTTATAGTTCAAAAAATCTCTAGATTTTCACTGGAAATGAATGAAATTAATCTGGCTGAAATTCGCTTACATATGTATTCTCCAGCAGATGCACGCGAATCTACAGCAATTATAATCCCTCCCTTATCTGCCGGTGTTTTTGGCTCATAGATGAAGGCAAGTGTTGTAGTTCCTTTCAAAAACTGGAAATTCTTTGCACCCGAATGCTTCCCAAAATGTGATTCGACAAATTCAATAGGCTGAAAACACAAAAATCCACCGGAATATAAGCAATTCTTAAGGTAGTCCCAGTTAAAAATTAAATGAATAATGCCTAGTAATGCAGATGTGTTTTCATAAATTTACGCAGCAGAAGGCCTACCCCTTGTCCTCCGCGCTAATAAAGATGATGAGAAACCTTTTTGAATCGCATTTTGACGTATCTTCCTTAGAGGAAACATACGATCAAATGAGAAACATGATGTCACGTGAATAGGTGAACTATACAAAAAGATCAGAGTATACATGGAGACAATTAACGTGACTCTCACGTGAGTTCTCTCCCTTTTGCTGGACATCAACGTGAGCTGGTACTACAACTCCATTAATTAATGGTACTGTAGTATAGAGACCACCGAAACAAACTGAACATAAAATTAATCAAACAGTTCCCTTAAGTACAATCGATATTATATTTCTTGTCGTTCTTACAATACGCAATGAATACTAAAGAGAATGAAAAAGTTACTCACTGTTCCATATGGAGGTTGCATGAAGCAGAAATCGTCAATGACTGGTTCGTGAAGGTCACGCTCTGGAACGTCATCATCTACGCTACCGGTAAGCATGGATATCTGTAGAAATAGGAGTTTGAAGTCTACCCAGAATATTCAAACGATTATAAATACCAACCCACTCTAACGCTTCCAACAGCACTAACCGAAGATGTCATCAAACCAGTATCGATGCGCTACTCTCGTTTTATGCAAATCTTCGGTTCAAATTTTTCGATGGGAGCTTTCATTTCTTTTGTTACTGACTAATTCGAACTTGATCGAAAGAAATGCTAAAAGTCATTCGTGGTAAATCTTTCATTACTAGGAAATGTCGCGCTGCGGGAACAATTAATAGTCAAATCTTAAAGGAATATTTTGGAGGTGATAAAGCAATGAATTGGAAACAGTTCTTGACTTGCTTGAATTTTTGAAAGCACTGTTGGTTATCTGGATTTCAGGGATTTCCTATATTTCTTATTTAAATGATTACAGCTACTTGTTGCATTTTCAAAGTACTATTTATAGTGCACGAGTTCCTTACCTTGGCAATTTTGCATGATACTTGACAGTTGTAGAATGCTGACCTTTATGGGAAGTTCACTACTCCGATCCACACAAATGAGTCTTTTTATAAAATTCCTGGGCGTTTTAATTCCCAGTTCTCGAGAAGAATCTCAAAATGAGTCTGTGATCTTGCTTATCTCAAACTTGGGTCTAGAAAGGAACAGAATTGATGAAGTTGTATAAAGTTGAGCTATTGGATTAATTTGTTCAAAAGACGGATATCATGAAATATTTTACTTGCTAATTATGGATAGTATGGAGATCTGCATTTTAAATACGATTAGTCATCAAATATATCACAATAGAAAGTCATAATAACCAAAAGTATGCAGCAGCTTGGCGTTTTTTCAAGAAATAAAAATTTCGGGAAACCAATATGAAAATATCTTTCCATAAGTACTGAGACTTTTACATACAAGGGCATGTGTGAGAATTTTAATGCTTACGAAAAAATTTCAAGCGATAACGGAGATGGGATCAAGAAAGTATTCAAGAATGGAGCACATGTACAAACCACTCACTTGACCTAAGTTTTAAAGCATGCGATGTAACTAATATTCCGAACAAACTCACTTCGAAATGAAAATTCCATGACAATAATTGAAAAATTATCATTGAAAGACGGTACTATCATTCATATTGAAGCATCACTATCATTTTTTAACTGATCAAAGCTTATATATTAGAATTTGGATTTTTGAATTTTCTGCGTTGTCTACCAGCACGGCGACGCCCTCCACGTTTATTGTTTCTGTCATTTTTCGTTTTCATACTACCATAATGTTCCAGATGGCACTGTTCATCGGTTTCCCTGATTTCCATTCTTTTTGCAGCAATTTTTTCATCAATTATTGTGTTTATTTTACATCTGCAACAATTACACCAATGTCACACTTTGCTCAGAATGTTTCTATGACAATTACATTCAAGAAATTCCACTTAAGAAAATGGCATGTCCTGCTAAGGTTAATGAATTCTGGATGACTAACAGTTTACTGATGGTGCAGCATTTGGACAGCTGTCCGCAATAACTTTTCAACTTGCGTGCTTCACGAAAACACAATTTCTGTTGTGCATCATCCTTTTTGCCTTTGTGAATTGGCCGCCGACTCTTTCTCTTATTTTTATTTTTTCATTGGTCACAAGTTTGTTTATTTTGTCTGGATTCTTCTGCAGTATTGCATCACATTTGGCTTTCTGCAAACATATTCGTTTATTCTTCAGAAATTATCCGTTAGTTTTGAAATTATTACACAGAAAAGATCTAGGCATCATCTTTAAGCTTCATTTCAAAGAGGCAGTTTCTGTCGCACTATTGTACTTAGTAGACACGTTATCTTCTTAGTAGGTTTTGACCTTTCCATAAATTTGTTCTCTCTTTACTGTTACAGCATTCTGGACCACTTGTCGCAAGAACAGACGAATTCTCACTATAGCTAGCTTGCTGTCTCCTGTACTTGTCAAGTTATGATGCCTTACTCGTTGACGCTTCGTATAGGATATCTTTTTGAGAATCAGTTGTGGGAAGTACTAATTGCTAAAAAAAATTTTCACTTTTACTTGGAACAATTTTCTTTATTTTAATTGAGGCTCATGAATTCCACAATGGAGCGCATTACTATTAAAGATATCACTTCACAAAGTTAGAGAGCAATTTCATGAACTCAACAGGGCCGGCTTTTTTTCCCAATGGCTGGTATTGTCAGTTACTCTAACTTATTCATTTGGATTGCATCACTTCCTGGAGATTTTTGCTAACGATAGAACCTACTGATTTCATGGAAGCAATATTTATTCCCGAATTTACTTAATAAAAAAACTGGTCATAGCGATTCTGTCTTCTTTTGGTTATTCCAGTTCTCTTACTCTTTGCCGGCAAAACATGTTTCAGTTTTCCTACTCTTTTCAATCCAGACCAATTATAGTTGAATATCATAGAAACAATCTTGAAAGCCGACAAAATAATTCACAATGGATCAAAAAATAATTTAGCAATACCTTTTTCGCATTTGTGATAGTTGTCGCAGTGGGTGATTTTTCGCGTAAACAGTTTTCGTAAAGCGAAATCCGCTACAAATGATCCGTTTTGCAACTAATTTTAAAAAGTTTTAGTGCATGCTATAAAGTCTTGGCAATTATGATTAATTCGCTTATTAGCAGTGTATATTTATGAAAAAGCTGCTTATTTCAGGCGAAAGATTAAAATAAGCTTAAACCAAACAAAGAAGCTGTTGTTCTGATGGCAGAATTCTGCCGATTCAAAGGTTGAAAAGTTATTCGGATAAATGCAGTTCATATTCCATTTTAAAAAAATGAAAATTTTAATGGTTCGCCGTTAAACCAATTTTACGCCAAGTTCCATTTCTTCTCTCGCTACTACAAAAGACTTTGCATTTCCGTTTTTTAAATATGGATTTGAAATGAGGAAATGTATTAGCATATTATATTTCAACAACTTTTGACAAACCGATTTTAAAGCTTTATTTTAGTTTGAATTTGAATTTGGAATCATTATTCATACTTCTCGTAATACACCACTTAACACAAAATCCAAAATCTCCCTTTTTTTTATGATTCCAAGAATATACATGCCTCATCAATTAGTTCCTTGAGTTCCGACTCCAAAGAATCGTTCCGGCACTCTCTCTTTTCAGTATACGGTAGACATTCGTCAGTTTTGGCCCGAGATTTTGCATAACATTCAATGAGTTGCTCACATGCCAGACTCTGCAACATTTCATAAATCAAATAGAAATTAAATTTATCAGTTATACTTCCAAAAATGTATTACTTCTATAAATAATTTCAATATTTGGAGCTCTATCACTCAAAAAAAAAAAAACTGGAAACGAAAATTCTTGCAAAATTTGATTATCAACATGGTAAAAATTTTTTTTACGTTTCAAACAAAACAAAAAAACGCTGTCGCGTCTTAATCCCCGAAGAATCCAAAATGCTAGTTAAAAAAAAGCCTGTTGAAATGGATTATTTCGTGTTGTAAACCTCCTTTGGCAAACCAATATCCAGCCATATCCGATGTGAATCAATGATGTTATGAGAAATGCACTCTACCAAATGATCCGAGAGCCAAGAAAAGCTAGGCAAACTCTCATTTCTGAAGTGCTTCATCAATATGACCTCCCTATACCGTCAAAAAAGGCCACATGTAACGAACCTCTGGTCGAACAATGTTTGAACTGATCGTAATGAAAAATGCCGCCAATAAGATCATCACAGAGTTTTCTGCAAGTTTTTGTAGAAATTATATGAACAACATTGCGGAAGAAATTCAAGAGTGAACTTTCTGAAATAACAATTAAATTTAAAGATAATCAATCGTTTCCATTCATATGATCTTAATTTACACTTACCCCAGGGATTACAGAAAACCAGATAGTGAAATATATTTCTGCTGAGTTAATGAAGAAATAACAAAAGTAAAATTTGAGGAAAAAAAGCGGAAGTTTAACAAAGGAATATAAGTATCAAAAAATGAGGAAAAATTTTTCCAGAAACATCAATACACTTCTCGCCGGGGAAAATCATTTCATTAATTAAGAGCGACAATAAAAATGCACTTTTGTAAGTTATCGTCAGCATCATAGCTTCAAGGATTCTGGAACAATCCACGGAATATAAAACAAGATCATTTGCATGAGATGAAAGATACCAACCAGCTATGGGAAATGAGAAATTTGAGATGAGTGAAAAGACAAAAAGATATCTCAGATACACTCAGTGGATTGTTTTCACCAAATCTGAAGATGATCGATAAAGTGAAGGCTCATGAAAAAGTGAAGAACATATTTTTCGGGCAGTGAAATGTGAAGCGTTAATAATTGTGCTATTTTATGTGGATGAAGGTACTAACCAATTCTTCAATCCTGAAATGATCAACTGGTTAATGTCCTCAGATTAAAACATTATAAAACTCTTATCACCTACCTGCAAATATTTGTTTTTTTTAATGAATGAATTGCCAGCGAAAAGGATTTCAAAATCCTTAATTATTATCATCTACCTGCAAATACTTCGTTTCCTCTTTCAAATGAGGCATAATAGTTTTTCATTTTGAAATAAGAAGTTATTCGGAATCTGCTTGCAAATTGGTTATATTATATATCAGAATTTTGAAAATATCGGTAAAGGAAAAAGAGAAAATAGGATGGAATGCTATGGAGTCTGAACAATTGACAATAGTATTTGATTTTCCTTTTATCCTCTTTCTACTTCCTTGGAGATTTAGAAACAATTAAATATTCATATTTTTAGTGGGATGACAATCAGCTTCATGGTCATTTCTGAGAAAACGCCTGTTCAGAGTGAAATTATTTTTGAAGAATCAAACTCAGTCACTTTTTCGAATTTTTTTTTAGAAGTCATAAATGAAGGATTGGCTGGAAAGTGCTGCGGTTGCATAGCGAATTAAATTGGTGCATTCCTGAACTATCTTAAAACAGCAAGATATGCTTGAAGCAAGTTAGCACCAATGCTGTTCAATTAGCATTTATCTTCTATAGCTAAGATTTCTATGATATAACAATTAATATAATATCCGGTGTTATGTTAGTTATCAAAGCCCAGAAAATTTTTGTAAAAATTTTGGAATAAAAAATGAATTGCGGGTAAATAGTAAAAAGTAAGTAAAACGAAGTTCAGGTAAGTAGAGATAAGTAGTAAAATAGTAAAAACGTAAAACGTAAAACGAAGTTCGAAGTGAAATTTTTATTTTGAAATCAAAGCTACCATATTACTATTCAAAACTGAAAAAAACTCTTTTTGTGTATTTTTTTTTTTTGAAAGTTGATACATCAAAGGATAAAAGTGGTAAAGTGCAAAACAAATCAGATATGGCGACCAAGCATGTAACAATAAATTTCCTTTTTTCGGAAACCAATCATGTATTAACTTTTAATAAGCCAAAAAATTACTCAGAAGGAGGGATTGAAATTTGATATGTCAGATGTGAAAAGTTATGCAAATTAGTTCAGCTGGGGAATGGAAACATGATATGCTCGGAACTGGATCATAGTGATGTCCTAAGCTTTTTGAATATATTAAAACTACCGTATCTATGGAGTCCGAAAAAATGATATTTTCAGAAGGGATTAGAGGACAATCCGACACATTTGATAAAGGCAAATGAACATGCTTAACAAAAATTTTTAAAGATTAAAGTTGGCTAAGATATTTCATAGAAGTTCCATCACTTTTCATTTTACCGATGCACAGGCTACCCACTCTATCCACAAGAAATATTTCGCGCTTTGGCGATGGGTAAGAAAAATGAGGGTACATTTTTACGGAAACATTGGAGCTTCAGGAAGTGCGCTAAAAAGCAATCGATGTCCATTTCAAATAAAGTAACCAGGTAAATTAAAGTATCCATCCATATTATTAAAATTTTCCGATAAATTTTAGATTAATATCTTCTACAAAATCCCATCTCAAAACTGAGTACAAATGTTCAGATAGTTGCTTACATCATTACAAATATTAACTCTTAACTCTTTTATGGAAACAACGATAGGATGAAAAAAATTGATATATTCAGAGAAGCTAAATACTTCTGCTTCATATTGTTCCATTATGTGAAAAACTAATTGTTTATGGGGAAATTCAGAAAGCTAATTATAATTATTCAATTTATATCCAACAAGTAAAATATAATTAGTGGCATTCGTCCTTCACTGATCATGGGAATGAAGTAAATGAAGATAAATGCACATTTCTATGAGGAGACGATGTTTAGGACACGACCGCGATTCCGCTCTTTTTCAATGTTTAGGACACGACCGCGATTCCGCTCTTTTTCAATGTTTAGGACACGACCGCGATTCCGCTCTTTTTCATATATTAATTTTTGATTCTTTTCAGAAAACATTCAAAAATATACTTCAATGGAGGAAAAAATATTTTCCTGAAATTTATTTGCTTCCTGAATCATTGCATAATATAAATGGAACAAAAAGCAGATAAGTATCAACAGATCGCAGACTGCTTAAGATTATTAACGTATACATTATATCATAAAACATCATCTTGTCTAGTTTTACCAACAGACAATTGACCTCCAATGCGCGACGCACATTGTTATTGTGATCTAAGAATAAATATACCAAGCAAAACTATTTCAAGCCCTTCCTCTTAAATTAATTACCTATATGTATAGTTAGATCTATTCGATGCATATTTCAGTGAACGATCATCGCCACTCTTATACCACGATGAAATCACCAGACCAAATCATAATGACAGCTCAGTAATTTCTCAAAGTTTTAGTAGTTGGCATGGGTAAATCTCCTGTAATATCTGTTCTTTCTAATATCTTTGTTCTTTGAGTTCTAATGAAAATTCCAATATAGAACTCTCTATTTGCTTAGAAAAAAGTTCCAGCAATAATTCAGTTCGCTTTCTACGCAGATTGTACATCTGCAAATGACAAATGACTTCCTGTCCCCAATGGAGTGTCCAAGTTGGACTTTTAATCCTAAATGATTTTTGTAAATTATTACATTTTTTCTTGTTCTACTTCTCCCATTACCTAATGACTTTCATTTTACAAATTAATTGATTTTTTAAACCATTTTTGTTGATCATCAATCCATTCAATAGCAATGAAACAACCGAAAAACCTTCCGTTTATGGTCTTTAGTTAAAAAATAATTTCTGCGATGAATTACTTCCTCATATTCTTCACATCCCACTCCCTATTTCTCCTTACAAGTCTCTCGGAGATAATTCTTAGAATAGAGAGAGTACGAGCAATTAGAGAGGAAGTAACTGGTAAGTAATATATCACATTTTATTGAGACAATTTGTAAAAGAAAGTGGAATCAACAACTGTTAAATAGGATATAAAATAAACAACAAATGATGGTAAAACACATCATAAATGATTTTAAAACAGATAAATAGTAAAACCTGATAAGAGCACTAAATGTTGTCAACAATAGTGAAATGTTAGCAATAATTGAAACTAATAACTGATTCATCCACGAGTGATGAATCTCTGAATCTTTAAAAGAATTACTACCCTTAGCCTTCCTTTCATGATTATCAATTATCAATAAATGTTTCTCCTGACTGAAGAAGCTATCATTTGGAAGTCAATTTGATGGTAAATAAATTTAATGAGAGGGATAAATAGATCACTTCCCTCTTTTCATTCAACCTCCCTTCTAACAGGCTACACCAACAACAAATAATTTGAGCTTTATAAGCGAAAAAGTCCCATAAAGTTGTACAAAATTCAAGGAAATCGCAAAAAAAAAATCGTTTTCAGTAATGATACAAATGGCTCAGAGCCTTGTGATTTTGGTTGTGTTTAATAGCCAAGCAGCAAACAGGAATTTGAAATAAATATATTCTATCTAAAGAGTAACCTGTCTAGTGAGTGCCCAACTAGCACTGGTATCAAATAGAAGACATATCGTGACAAAAAATAAAAATAAATAAATGAAGAGATGAAGAAAATGGTTGAAGTTCTATCACTATCAGTGCTTCCAATTTTAAACAGACAAAAATGAGGGAAGAAGAAGCAGTTGAAAAACCTTGTTGATACAACACGTTTTCTTATTGAGCCACTTGGTAAAATCTAAAATTTTCCTTACTTCCATATTAACTTCTATCTCCGTCTTCCGCAAAGAATAAATTTTCAATTCCTATAGGGAAGTTGTCTGGCATTACTTCACTATGTAATTAATGTTTATTGATGTCAATAAAATAATTAGTATTCAAGAAGCGCAATTATTTGCCTACAAAGATATCTTTTTGCAAATAATAGCTATAAATTTAGACCAATCTTGAATGATTAAATCATAATTAATTGTATCTAATTAACTGAAAAGCACACGTATTGCAACAAAATCAAATTTAACAAAATTAACGATCGATATTGTTTGCTTCTTCACTTCGCATGAAGCCCAGTTAATGATTGATGAATGGAAAATTCCAATTCACATCTAGCAGGACTGGTTTAGAAAGTGGATAAATGAACATAGTTGCAAGGATATGTTGTCGATACCGCCTAATGCGGTCGATCCTATTCGAATTAGATGGGTCAATGAACAAATGTATAATATACGTGAATGCGATTAACAGACCATTTGTCGTCCATTTTGCATCCCAAGAAGTAACACAAATGAAACATTTCTATTTCCCTTCAACGATGACCACTCTGACCACTGGTCACTAACACTAACACAGTTAAATGAGCTTAGTTGCGAAGGAAAAAGTTGGAATTTTTCCGCTTTATTTTATCCATAAAACAGGCCACAATTTTGCAATCAAATGATGTTAAATTGAAAGAATTAAAGGTGGCATTAATATGTGACGAAAGATAACAAATGTTACATATCAAAGAGAACAAAATCGACAAAAATGATTGCTATTCTTTCTCCAGAAATTGAACAGATTTAATATTTATTTTTGCTTATTTGTCATTTAAATGAAACTTGACATAGCTTAGCAAGTCATCTTATCCTTTCTTATCCTTCCTTGTTTATCTTATTTTTGTTATCATTAGTTTTATCATTAGCCAACGTATACTTGTCATATTGACATATAAGTGTGAAACTCATAGCAAGCATATTTCCCTTTTTCGCTTCAAGCCAAAATTATTTTAATTAAATTTCAGTAATGCGATCTGCAGACCAATAGACCTTCATTAAGTGAATATTCCATACTAAAATGGCATATGTCACCAAATATCCGAATGTTCTCAACAAACAACATCTATATGTTTTTTAATTGAAA